AAAAAAACACTTTTAAACCACTATCTTTGGGGCAACACTAACATACACAGAAAAAAACTGCTCAGAATCTTGAAGATGAGTTTGTAGTTTTGCCATTTGACAGAGTGGAAGATGTGAGATTTTTAAAGCCTTGCATGATCATAAAACGACATGTTTTCACAACCAACCATGGTCAAATCTGCGTTTCTTCAAGGCTGACTTTTAAATGTACCAAAACTAAAATCCTGTTTCCATTCCATGAGAACTTTGCTTGGTTTGTATTTGCCATTAAGCTTTCATTTCAGAAGAGTTCTGGGAAAGCCAGTGGTGTTCTTCTCACCTTATTTAACAAACTAACTCTATTTCATGTTGTTGAAACAGGAAAGCAACTCAGATGACCCATTTGAAGCAAAAAAACTCTAAAGGGAACAAAGGAAGAACAAAGTACTCAAAAAAGGGCTAAGAACGTGGCCAAATTCATAATGTAGTACCACTTCCTAACACACGATGGTAGTATAGAGTGTAACAATTTTTAAGTCGTCGTGCATTAAAATTTTGGCTCATGTTTCAAATGAATGAATTGCATTATCTGTTATATGGGTTTAAAAACAAATAAGTGGCTTTGTAATGTGCACCTTGCGTTCACATCTTAAAACTGATAAAACTCGGATATCCTACCCTCGGGGGAAGTAGATGATTGACTTCAAAATAAAACATATGTCATTTAAATAAATACTTGGAACTTTCAATGTAAAAAGTCTGTGAGTCGAGGCGAAACTTTGGCATGTTTGCGTATCGAGCAAAAAAAAGGATTCCAAGTTCTGTTCCCAAGTTCAGGAAATGATCGAAGAGCAGTTTGATTTTGAAAGTTAAGCAACCGGAAGTGTTTGCCTTCGTTAGCTTATTAGCTCGTATGACCTGGTGTGTCCTCCAATATCTGAGATTTGACAGCTAGCTGATTCAAGGATAAGATCACCGATATCATGGTTTTCGAGGAGAAAAGGATCACGAACGGAGAACCAGAGGTTCTTAGTATTTGTTACAGATACGATTTCGTAAGCTAGTGACGTTTGACGTTCAGCTTATAGGCTAATACACCGAGGCTAACTACGATGCATCCTTAGTTGACATTAGCATTAGCCAACCTCTCTATACATCTCTGTTCAGAATAAGATTAAAGGTTAATTAACGTAATAGAATCAAATCGCAGTCAGTGATAATAATGACGGACTAACTGGTGAAGATGAATCGATACAAAAGCAATTGATAACAATTTCTCGAGGGTGGTGGTTTATTGGTGTTATTAATTTGGTCTTGTGTATTTCAGGAGGAGGAAGAAGAAGAGGAAGAGATGGTGGTATGTTAATTAAATAACCTTAACAGAATCAAAGTATGTTAATATATCCCATTATGACTGATGTTTTTTTTTT